CTACTTGAGTACAGTCACGAAGTATTTGTAATTCGTTACTTCCCATCTCTGGGTCCAGGAAAATGTGAGCGATATCCAAGGGTGCTGGTATACTGAGGATGGTGGCGAAATCTTAGATGATGGTCCAGTAATGAAATCCAAGGTGATATATGACCATGGACATTTAGGGATAGGCAGTGGCTGGAGAAGACCTATGGGGGACACACTGGACACGCTAAAACATAGCTTTTAACATTTTTATATTGAAGGCCACCAAAAAGTTCAAGAGTTCTGTTGATTCCAGAACCTTATTTCGATCTTTGAAATACTTATATTTCATTTATTTTAGCATTACTAGACTTTGCAGTGGTTACTACACTTTGCAGTGGTTATTTAAAAAATGCTAAAATGATATGATACAGCAAGTTGATAAATCACCAGCACCTCTTGCAACCCGGCTTGGGATTAAGCTTGTCAGAAAATGGATGGATTGATGGATAGTTTCTGTGTTCATCCCATCAATACATGCAACAAATGTCCCATTTTGGACTCTAGAAATGTAGATGTTTGAAATTCTGTTTATACACTGGACAGGTCACCACTAAGACACCTTTAACCATTAACACTCACACTCATACAATTTAAGGACAGCTTGGAGATGCCAATTAACCTAACTGTCATGTCTTTGAAAGAAAGTCTTAGTGCCCTGAGAGAACTCATGCGTGCATGGGGAGAACATGCCAACTCCCTGCAAAAAGAATGGGCCTGGACCAGGAATCGAACTCAGGACATTCTTTCTACAATGCAACAGTGCTTCATACTGCACCAGCATGCAGCCCTCACTCAGTTACTAAGTCTGCAATTATAAAATCCAAGATCCCTTCAACATCAAGTAATTTATTAATGCTATTAATTTTAGTAAACATTAGCAGTTAACATTCAACGTTTCACTTAAAGTGATAGCAAGAACACATTAAAGAAATTCACCTGTGAAAAAATTACAAATATGTAAGGACAATCATTTACAAACTTCATTTTTTACTATATTTTGCCAAGTTTATTTTAAACAAAATAGAAACATTTTCCATGCACAGGAGATATAAACATTGGACAATTTCAATTTTTTACCACCCTGTCTCTTTCTCAGCAGGACAAGATGTCGGCGCGATGCCAAACTCAGAGATGCTCGGTGTGGTGGAGGACATCGCCCGCAGGCTGCTCAGCGAAGAGGAGGTGGCTGCTGTGATGACGGCGTGCCAAAGGGTGAGACTCTTTGAAGAAATGCTAAAGCGGTGAAAACTTTTTGATTTAAGGAAAGTTGTACCTGAAAATGGACAGAGGCAATTAGCTGTGATGCAGTAAAGGCAATAGATTTAGCCCATGTCCTGGAAACACCTGCCTGGTGGCTTCAGCTGCAGTCCTGGTTAATCTACCATGAAATCCTCAATAGGCTTTCTCATCTTTTTTTTTCTTACATATTTTTCCCCGGCTAACAACATGCTTTAATATCTGTTCTGAGAAACTGAATTAACAGTTCTTCATAGGTTTAACCTTCACTTTAATGTTTACTTTACTTCTACAGACTGAAAGTAAATAAATCTTACAGTAACTTTGTCATATATACAAATATGAAATTCCTTAAAAAGACATGGTACTGAACCTTTGATTTTCCTCACCAAGTATGTAGCAGAGAGGTCAGTGGAGAACTTGATCCACCACCTGCTGGCTGTGCTGGATCGACCCGAAAAGCTGCTGCTTTTGAGGGAAGTTAGGTAAGGAAGAAAAAAATAAGCAGCTGTTGATAATAATACTAAAGGAAAACATACATTTATGTCCTAGTCTATAAAATGTCTGTGACCATTAGCAGTTAAAAGAATCATTGTGCTGTTATTTAGGGGCTCCAGAATTTTAAACAAGTTAATCTTGTTAGATATCTTGATGAGCACTAAGGGTGTGCAAAATAATCGTCATGAC